TTTATCCAGTTCGTCTATGACCTCATCCTCCGGTCGATAAATCAGGTCAATCATTCGCCATATCTACACACAATAACTTCATATAAGAAGCTAAAAAACAGATCATCCCAAATTAACAAAACTGCACAAATTTTCCTCATCCATTTGCAAAATTCGTGTGATTTCGCATTACTAATGGAAAGGCACTATCTTAAGCTCTATTAACAAGTATCAGTCATAACCACGAGTACTACTCTTGACATCAAAGTTTGAATAAGGAAAAAAAATTAAAGCAATTCCAATTATCGTTCAAAAACTAAGAGTACCATAATTATAAAATATATCTGGATCCTACAACTCAGTACTTTCCAAAAATATCATTATATGTGATTGTGATTTTTTTTTTTCTGTAACCAATAATGATATGTATAGGGCGCGGCTAGTTTTATAATTACCTGTAGTGTACCTCCACCCCCAGTTTTTTCTCCATCTTCAGAAACACTCACGATGGTCCATGGATCTGCTGCGTTCCAGTGAAAGTCAACCACTTTATCCCTGTTTTATCAATTAGCAAACCATGTATTATGTGAGAAAGAACATGTATTTAAGAATTTGATTGTGAATGCCAATGTAGGATTTATTAGCCAAAGTACCTGTGTCCTGCGTGTTTAAAGAACAAGCCCGGTGGCGAACCAGAGTTTCCAGCAGGATTCGCGGTTTTGCCAACCTGGGTCGGTCATCAACAGTTTTGTTAAAGCACAAGCGAAAACAGGGATCAAGTTATGAAAGGTTTAATTTCTCAGCATTTAGATCAAAAGGCGTGAAATAAAGCTTTTTCCAGTACGTCCACAAGCTATATAATTAATTGAGTGAGTATGGAGTTAAAAAATCTGCTCCTAAAGTGATGGAGATGAGGGCAAACATGATCTTTGGGATCTTTAATTTAATTATTTATTCCTTTTATTTATTGTTAGTATTTTCGTCCTACATTTGTTAGTAAAGTTATTCAATTATTCTAGTCTTTTATTTGGTAGGAAAGATATTTAATTATCCTTTACTTGTTAGACAAGATTAGGGTTTTATGGGATTCTAATTATTGGCTTCTTCATTATGGAGAATTGGTCAAGTTTTATGAAATAAGAATATTTTCTTGAGAGTTTTAACTCTTCTTTTCCCTTTCGTTACGCTGCGCTACACCATAAAGTTAAGCATGATTTTGCTTTTAGAGAAAATGAAATATTGTTCCTTTAAGGTCACAAAATATCACTTTAATTGATGCTTTGTGTTTGTTTTACTACCTCCGTCACACATTTACTTTGTAAAATAAAGACACCTCAAATAATTAATTGTAAAGTTTGAAGGATAACTGAGTTCTTCAGTTCTTTTGAGGGGAAGATGGACTAAACCTTGGCATAATGTTATATTTGTAGTAATTAATATAGTCAGTTGAAAACTTCCATTTTCTCGACAGTCCAGAAGGTAAAAGCTAGAAACTGAAAATTTTCCAGAATTCACCTTTGCATGATCCCAGATATTCAAGATACCATCCTCCGCAGCACTGCCAAAGACGGACGCCTTAGCAGGAGACCACTACAAAACAAAACACATCAGCATTCACTCCTAATTGAAAAGCAAAACGTTATTAATGATTTGTACCTGAACACACAGAACAGCAGCCGTATGGTCTTCAAATATGTGAACAGGGGACCCAACCCCACCAGAAGTAAGATTTCTACGATCATACATGCGAACAGTATTATCCGCAGATCTACAAGAGGCAGAGGATGCTAAGTACCTCAACAAATTTCGGCATATATCATTTTACAGTTAAATCAATTGACATGTTTACTGGATATGTAATATGTACCCCGTCAAAATTAGATTTATATCATTGGGATTCCAATCAACACAGTGAAGGTCAGCATTGTGCGCCTTCTCGACCTGTGAGAAACAACAGAGATTGTAAGTTCAGTGTTACCATTTAATGACCATAAGAGAAGGATAATTAAAGCAAGCGTTGGAAAAGAGAAGATGAGAATGAACCTTAACAACAGGAGAAGAGCTTGTTCTCGCATCCCATAATATAAGGCAAGAATCATCACCAACACTGCAGAACTCCATTGCGCTGCATCACAAGTTAAAAATGAGCTAATGTAAATACTCCATACCCAAAGATGCACAGAGAGTTGACTTTTACCAGAACGAAACAAGATTCTTCAGCATGTTAGGTGGAATATAAAAAATGGATAACAAAAGAGATGCATAGATGTAGGCAGGGATGTTTCGGAACAAAACTCACAATATTTAACAAATGATACATTATCTAGCTATCTTTACAGAATCTATTATCCATTATATACTTAGACTCCATCACTACCTTGATGGGTTAAACTGGACATCTTCAACAGTATCATCATGCCCATGGAAAATCCCTCGAGCTTGAACTGTCGTACTTTCAGGTTTACCATTGGACCCAACACTTTTAGATCCTGGAGATTTTTGCGTTCCTTTTTCTGCTGCCAAAGATGATATATGGTCCTGGATGCTCCACAAAACTACCGACTTATCCTTGCCTGCCAAAATTTTTCTTTTATTAACATGGTGAAATAGGAAACTCTTACGTGACTAAAAAAAGATGAGACAAGAAACAAGCCAAGGACGAGATAATTAAATTAGATGCACTCATGCTGATGGCCTAGTATGAGTTTTGAAAGTAGGCAACAGATACAGGTTACGATTACCATGACTCAGCAATTTATCTAAGACCAGGCCCTGTTAGAAACATTTCCAAAAACTTGGCCGAAATTACATATTCCACAGTAAGAGTAAACAAAGTACATTTTTTGTTGAAGCCCCGTGCTCATTGTCCTATCCTCTAACAATCAAGTAAATTTTGAAATATGATTAAGTAATATTTGATGTTATGCAAACACACAAACACACTGAAAGACAGAAGACAGAGTTTACCTCCGGAGAGCACAAAGGGTTCAGTAGGTGACATAGATAGTGCAAATTCAGCATTATCTTTATGTCCAGTCAATATCTGCCACAATGGGTATAAAGTAATGAAACGCCATACTCGAAACTGATAGTTAAGCAGAAACACAGTGACATATATCACTGCCGAATGGTTAATTGGAAATAAAATAGGGGGAACAAAAAAGAAAACAACTTCGGATTTGCAATGCATACGTAAGCATCTAACCATTTTTGGGCAGTAATTTCAGGACACAGTCAATATTTCAGAGGTCAGAAATCAGCATCAAGTAGACTAAATGACTAGTGTCGTAAAGTAAGATCAGAGCTTTTTGAGGACATACCAGATCAGGACGAGATGGTGTGGCACCTAAAACCGGTTGACGATTGGACTGAGTTTCAACATCCCAAATGAGGACCTAACCCATTTCAACGTAATCTAAGTACATATTTGAGAAATTGGAATACACCAACAATACAGAACATAACATATCTAGGGAAAAAATAAGATTGGCAGAAATTTAAACAATTTAACAATATAAACACTTACGTCAGGACTGTCGGTATGAGTAGCTACAATATTGCTGTTTTGTGGCAGTTCCCTGATACGATTCACCTGCAATAGAATGGAACAAATTACATGTTAACAAACATGCTTATACATACAGATCGACAGATAAAGCGGTAAATAAAACAATAATATTAGGGGAAAGAATATAAAATGAAAAACAAAATACAAATATAGAATGTAGAATCAGAATCAAACACCAGCTGTGCCCCATTATTTAGGGAAAAAAATCGAGTAATGATATGAATATACCTCGCCAGGGTGTATGATGGTCTTGCTCTTCTTCACGAACGGTGAACGTGATTCCTCATTGAACTGAAGTATTAACAAGCAAAATAGTAGGAGAAAAATAACTGATAAACAGTTTGCATAAGCCCACCGATAACTAACATGCATGCATGTGTGGTAATGCTAATTGTGTAGATAGAGGCATGATATATAAGAAAACATGCATTTAACCTTTGTAAATTATATCACCTGTGCTATGTGTTCCGCTGCTGCAACTCTTGCTTTCACAACTTCAACATTTGCAATGACAAGTGTATTTGGAACACTACCATCCGTCTATATGGAGAAAATGGCAGGAGATAAAGGCAAATCAGAGACAATCAAGACTTCTGAACCAATGAACACAGTATATGAACATAAACATATAACAGCCAAGCTTGACTCGTCCAATCAGATTAACTGACAAACAACCAATGATAATATAGATGTGGTAAATAACAGATGTATAATAAGTATGATAAATATCCACAAATATGGACTCATCCAATCACATTAACTGACAAACTACCAATGATAATATGGGGATAAATAAGTATGATAAATATCCACAAATATGGACTCATCCAATCACATTAACTGACAAACTACCAATGATAATATGGATGGGATAAATAGCTTAAGAAAAAAAGATGCAGAATAAGTATAGCTTTAAATCATCAGAGTATTATTGTATCCTCATTTCCAAAGTAATGAGTGCAAACCTACGGAATAAAGTATAACTGCTGAATGTGATAGTTCAAAGGATTTGATTATACCTGTTCAGAAAGGTATAGACGCTGACGATTCTTGTAAGTTGCTTGTTCAACCTGAGGCCCCCATCTGAGACAAATAACCAGAAAAAGAAAAAGAAAAAAAAAAGGAAAAATCATGTAAATATAAAACGGGGTTGCATTGAATTTTAGAAAAAATTGTATGTCTTCTATTCTTTCCAGCAGTGACCCGACAACAAACTGTCTAACCATATGCCAAAAAGGCAATCTCCATCCAATCACATAACCCTTCATAAGAGATAAAGACAAAAAATTACCACAACAATGATACATTATATCTTGTATTTCATGTCATTGCAAATGTGAAACTCGGTAATACCAACCAGCTACGGGAATTTTATGAGATCGAGCTCCTCATAAATAATAAAATAGAAAAGGCCTTCCAGTTGTAAAAAAAAGACCAGGAAATCGAGAAACTTCAGAACCGAATGAAGAGAAACAACAGTAGGATGTCCAACAAACCTAAAACGTGGAATGTGGAAAACAAGCATCTACAAGGAAACACAACGGAACCAGTACATAAAGCCAACTGTCATCACAATGTTCTGCAAACAGTAATAAGGTCAGGTATTGGGTCGACTTGATGGAGTCATGGATACAAAGGAATAAAGTACCATTCATAAGTACCAAAAAAGAAACCAATGCAAACTGGTTCTACACATCCCAACATGTGCTGAGCTCATATTTTGGAATAATGATGAGACACTCAACAACAAGGAGACTTTCCAATTCACACTAGACAGCTTGGGTGCAATCATATAGATTTCTTTCAGCAGCTCTACAAGTTGGCAAGAGGATTGGCCACCAGTATTGCCTAAGTCCTAACTCAGATGAGTTGATGCAATATTTGTAGCTTAATTCGTAAGTTTCTGAGAAGAGAACGTGTGGTCATCCTTGAAGTTTATTACATGAAAGGTAGTTGATTAATCACCAAAATCCTTTAGAGGTGAATGGTCCACTTTCTCTTGATTACCCACATCTTCTGGATAAGCCACAAGATGAAGGGACACAATAACTAGTTCACTTCCCCTATAAAGGAGCAACAGTCCAACGACATAGCGAGGAGGATAGATTTGAGTAGCCGAACAAGACACAAGAATTCCTTTTTTTTTTTTTTTCCAATATTCAGGTTCTGCCTTTCACTCTTATTCCATCTTATGTACAGACATCAGACTAGTTGATTTCCAAATCCTCCATTTTGCAAATGAAAATAGGCATAACGTACCATATTGTTATGCAAACAAAAGCTACCAACCAAATTTGGGGCAAAATCAAAATGCTGATAGATATTCAGACTACGAAAAAAATCAAAAAAGGTCAGTCATTTCTAATCCAAAACCATCCCACAAAAATTTTCAGAACTTCAACACACCCTTTATTACCAGAAAATCAGCAACAAATGCAAACTCAGGAAGCCCAAAACTAAAAAGTAAACTAAACAAATAAAGGCAAGACAACGCGCCGTGACGCAAGTATACAGCCAAACAATCAGCGTGTCCGTCTCCCCCATGCACTCAGCAAAACCAAAACTTCACAAAAAGTTTCCAAAACTTTCAACAATAAATTGAAATCGAGAAAATAGAAAACCCACAAATCTTTCGGACACATGAGACATAAATGAAGACAATCGAACTTCAGAGCAAACAAGAACAGCAAAATGACATAAAACCCTAGAGACGAAACAAAAGGAAAAAGAAAATGCACCGGCAAGAAAGGGAAGGCCAAACTAGGTTGTGATTGGCGAGCCAGTCGTAGAGGACGGGAACAAGGGATTTCCACTGCGTGTAGCGGTCTTCCACAGAGCGCTCCGCGCCTCTGTCCTTCATTCTTCTTTCTTCTTTTTCTTCTCACTCAACACTCAACAGTCGCACAGGCACAGCTCCAAGGGCGTGAAAGCTGTCTGGACCTCTTTGTAGCGGGTCACGGGTTGTAATGGGCTGACACTGTTCTCGTTCTCTTTGGTCCTCTTAAAATGTAGTGGAGTCTCACACACACACACACTCCATAATTTGATGGAAATTTTAGGGCATGTGATAATGGAATATCATAGTAGGCCGGTTTTAATACATAGGGTAAATAATATTTTTCAACTTGTACTATTTGTGCTTTTGGAATTTTCAACCTAAACTATTATTTGTTGTAAAATGCAACCTGAACTATATATACAATCGCTATTTGCACGCTCGACCACATCTTGACCATACACGTGTCCTTTTTTGCTATTGATCGAACGGTCAAAAAGTAGTCGAGCGTGCAAATAATTGTATATATGTAGTTCAAGTTGCATTTTACCAAAAAAAAATACTTTAGGTTGAAAATCCCAAAAGCAACGTATAGTACAGGTTGGAAAAAATTATTTACCCTAATACATAAGAAGAAACATATTTGATAATAAGTCTATACATGGGGGCTACGACACATGGCATAATAGTATTGGTCAAACCAACTTGAGCACTAAGGTACACCTCCCCTATAAAATAGACCTACGGCTACGGTATCCCAAAAATCTATCTCTCTACATTCATTACTATGTCCCCATATTACACTCTTTATCTCTGGCGAGTGCTGACTTAAGCATCGGAGGTTCGACGCCATGACCCCTCCCGGCGTTGAGTTCTTGCAGGTACGGAGGTCGTCCGAGTTGAAGGAGCCCGAGTGAAGTCTATTTCACCAACACTAGCGTCGTCTGTGAGAGACGTTCAAAAAGCCAAAAAATTGATCGTGGCAAACGGAGTTCTGACCGAAAAAATTCCAAGAGTTTTCTAGCAATCTCCTTCACGGTCGCCACCACCGCCACCGTCGTCGGCCGCCGCCAAAGTGCTTTGATCGGAAAATTTTTATCACTGGGTAGATCTCGTCGAGGTGGTTCTCCCTTTAAAATTTAAAGCCAGAACTCCAGCGGGAAGGCTGTCAATTCCATCGGTCAAACATTCCAAGTCTAAGAAATTTCGGTCAACATCTAACCTTCAAATCCAGTTTCCCGGCGAAACGTGAGGGTTATTAAAAATCCGAGGGTACCACCAGAATCCTCTCACTGAGGCGAGTCTACAGCAACATACCTTCACCAGCTGCCGTCGCCGCCGGCTAAATTCGTCCGATCAAAAAAAATTATATCATCACAAAGCTCTTCTCACGCTCATCATCCTCCTAAAATTTCAAACAAAAATACACCGAGATGGCCATTAATTTTTTCGGTCAAGGTTTTTAGATCTAAGAAGTTTTGGTTAACTCCGGTCTTCTTCTCCAATTTTCCAGCGATCCACTTCAAACCGAGGGCATCATCGAAATCTCCTCGTCGAGACTGTTGTGTACAAATTATTCTTTTTACCGAGTACCGAATCGAAAGATTCGTCCCCGAGTCGATCTCACGAGGAAGGCTGTTCGGAATTTAGTTCTGATATTGATAACACATAAAAGCAAATAAAATCCTAAACACCCTAATCAGATAAAGACTGGATATTATCAACTAAGAAATAAAGAACAATGCAAAAATATAAATCTACCTAAAATTAAGAACGAAATAAAGATGAGAAGCTAGGGAATTGGGAATAATTAATTCAAGTTCTAGCAAAGTCGGGCGATTAATTGTTCGTTTTGAGATTGACACTCTCGCTTACACATCTAGAGGTTCGCTCCCAATAACTCTTCGTAACAAGGGATTGAACATAGACGAACAAGTTCGAGCATAAAATACAAGCCAATTATCCCAATCCCAATAACTTTACATAACAAGGGACGGGACATCGACAAGTGCGTATTTCAATCAAAAACACATAGATTAGTCAATTACGACATTGTCTACCTCATGTGAGCCTAGGTCTACGACTTCTCCCCTTTCGGTTCAAAAAGTCGCCAATTTAACTAGAAGGTGTTTAATCAACTAATTATATGGAATCGACAAACTCTAACTTGACAAATTTAACATTCAATTGTTTCCAACTGCATGGTCGAAGTGTCACTCTTCGATTATATCAATCAATCAAACAAGAATTCATCAATTCCTAATCAATTCAACTCATATAAGCATGAACAAATCGAATCCCGACAATTACACGTTAAACAAGAACAATCATCTCCTATCCCTAGCAATAGGATTTAGCTACGAATATCAAATTCAACAATCATGATCAATTCTCTCAAATAATCATTCTTCATGAATTAAACAAGAGAAAAGAATACTTACAATCAATCCAAGTTCCAGTCGAATTCGAAATACAAGCTAAA